TCGACCGTCCTCTCGCATGGGGTCTGTGCCGCAAGTACTTCCGCCGAAGGCGTATCGCCTAAGGCGGCTGACCCGAAGGCCGTTGATCCGAAGTCCCTTGGGCCGAAGGCGCTTCAGCCGAAGGCTCTTGCCCCGAAGGCTCCTTACCCGAAAGCTCTTGAGCCGAAGGCGCCTTACCCGAAGGCTCCTTCCGACTTTTCTGCTGCGCCGAAGGCGCTTCAGCCGAAGGCTCCTGTCCCGAGGTCGAGTCATCGAACAGTACTTGCTCGATCGCAAAGCACATGTCCGCCGCCGGCACATTCGTCGGTGCCGCGTGTTGTTTCTCCTGACCCGAAGGCCGTCTTGCTTCCGCCGAAGGCTTCCGTGCCTTCGGCGCAGGGAGTTCCGCTGACCTCTCTGCAGGTCGCGCGCTCCTATCCTCCTCCGAGGATGGTGATTTCTTTTCCTCTGCAGCACGCCCCGTCTCCGCGCTGCTTGCAGGCAACACGAGCCTGCGTGCCTTCTGCTTAGGCCGACTGCATAGCTCTGTCAGTGGCCGCTTCCGTTTGAGAGCAGCAGCCTCACGTTGCTGGCCCTTCTCTGCTCCTCCTTCCCATCTTCACTTCCGCGGCACTCGTGCTGCGAGCGATTCTCCTTCGGCCCTCGGTTGGGCTGGTGGCGTGAAGGCAGGAGTCTCGTCTTCATCGGTATCGACTTTGACGTCCTTCACATATCAGCCCGGATTGCTGCGTGACAGCAATGGGAATTGTACTCGCTCCGTCGCGGCTAGACATCCCATCGACCAAGAGAAATTGATCAAGAAGGGGGAGAGGTGATTGATCGATCCTCCCCGCTCCTCGAAGGCATGTTGTCTCGTCGCCTTCCACAGAATGCGAGCCCAATGAATCGGAGCTCCGGCCAACGCCAGCTCCATGAATTCCACCTGCCAAGAAGTCATGTAGGTGGTCTGGTGCGGCTGCAAAAGTTGAAGGAGTGCTACCGCGACATTCCTTTGGAATCGATCCTTGTAGTCACGGGTCTTGTACCCGTTCTTGCTCGACTTGCTATGCTTAATCAGCGCCGCGAAGGTAGCTTCTTCCTCCTTCGAGACACTAACACTCTCGCACTCGAACAGAAGATGGCCTTCTTCTCCTGCACATCTTCCTAACACCTGCTCCCAGTCACTGACTTCCCACCGCTCCGGATGCGGTCGAAATCCGCGCGTAGGTTGATCTTTGTCCCTCAGCCACTCGCAAACTATATCCTGACACACCCAATTCCATCCCCATAGGAGGAAATCGAGCTTCACCAAAGTCAGCTCGTGCTGGAATGCGCGCAACCCAATCTGCGGAAGCTTCAGCGGAATCATCCGCAGCTGCGTAACCTTCGACATCGCGTTCTTGAATTCGGCCGATCGTCAGAAGTCTGTGAACTCTACTTCGCTGTCCCCAAGCTTCTTGCGCGCGGACTCAATCACTCCGCGAGCTCCCGCACTCACTAGCCAGAACCCTCTAGCTGCGCACTCAGCTGCTGCACGCTATCCTGCAATTCCCCGCTAGTCGCAACTCTCTCTGATGTCTCTCCGCCGATTTCCTGCTGCGCAATCGTCGCTCCAGCGAAATCAAAAAAAAAAATGCAAGAATGAGACGTCTGCCTTCGGCGAACAAGATTTCACCGTTCGACACTCGGGAGTGGGGATCATCCACTTAATTGCTGCGCCGGCTTGGAGGCGTAACAGCCTCCTTTGCACGCCCGGCTTCACGCTCCGCCGTTGTGCGGACTCACACGCACGAGAATTGAATTTGATTTCCGCCGTCGTCCGTCGACTTAGCCTTGCCCGCGCAGCGCCGAAGGCGTGGCGGCAAAGAACTTTGCCTCTGGCCGATTCCCGATTTTTCTCTCTTCGCATCGCCGAAGGCGTTTGTCTTCCGCCGAAGTCACTCTTACGCAGTGCCGAAGGCGTACCCTTGAAAGTGTCCGTCAACGAAGGCGCATCGCCGAAGGCGCTTCCGTCAAAGGCGTTGACCGAAGTCAATGCGTCTTGTCGGCAATGTTGTTTTGTCTTGTCCCGCCGAAGGCGCTCTTCCTGCAGGTGTTCCGTTCCGCCGAAGGCGCACGTGTCCGCCGAAGGCATTGACCTAATATCGATGCGCTGGTGCCGAAGGCGCTCAGGCGAAGGAGTACACCGCCGAAGGCGTTGCCCCGAAGGCGTACCGTCCGTCGCCGAAGGCGTATCGTCGAATGCCCTCCCTATCAATAACTTCTGACACTCATAACTCAGTGATACCTTATCCGTTCCAAGAGTTGTTGGGCTCGTTAGAACGAGCGCGTCGAGTTCTTTTCAACAAGACCCTAACCAAATCAAGTTATTACGAATTGAGATAGTTATGAGGAATTCACTCTAGCGCCAAAAGCGTCTATCGCCGAAGGCGCTTCCTCTTAGCAGGAACCGTCCGTTCGGACCAGGACGCCTGTCCTGGACGTTGCGCCCAACTCCTGGATTCTCCTGGACCCGCGATTATCTAATTTCATTCTATTTTAGTGTACCAATTACTATTTACAGTTACTACTGCGGTACTGTTTTTCCAAAAATGTTTAAATTCCGCACAAAAACAAAAAGTGGGTTGTCACAATTGTTGTGATATTTCTGTTGTTATAATCAAACACTTATGATAACTTTAACTTGAATTTTTTCCAACTCCATCAGTTGCTATTGTACAGATCTAATTGATTTTGCTTAATTTTTTTACTTATTTATTAAATCACCATAAAATAAATAAAATCCAATTTTAAATAAACAAGATTCAAAATTATTGATAATTTAAAAAGATGAATTATCATTAAATGATTTTTCAAAGTTTTCAATTTTCTTACAAGATATGATGCAAGTTATTGTTTCAGTTTTGTTTGCTTTGGTTCATGTTTGCATCTTCAATCGTACAATCAAACAAATTGTATAATAAATCTCTTTTTCAATTCATTTGCATTATATTTGTAATAAGTAATAATTTTGTTATGACTTTTTGTTTTGACATGCCATGAATATTAATTTATATTTACATATATATATATATTTCAAAAAAATCGGTAAAATTTTGATAAAAATCATTACTTTTGCAAAATTTCATACAAATTTATCAAATGTCTGAAATGTATCAAAACTTCAAAGTGTTTTTATGTACCCAAGTTTTTTTATATCATTTCATGAATTAAATTTTTTCTTATTTTAAAAATAATTTATTCATTTTTGGATGAGAAGACATTTTCTACATAAACATATTTGATTCATGTTTTTTAATAAATGCAATATATTTTCTTGCGATTTTTTCCAGATTTGAAATTGTGAAGTTAATTATTCTTATTCTTCTAATTATAAAATACATGTTTTTATGAAATTATTTATCATGAAATGAATCAAACATTTGATTACGATTTCATAAATCATGATCAAATTCAAAATTCAAATGCTGTTGAAATTTTGAACATCAAATGCAGCCAAAAAACATTGAAATAGTTTCAAATTGAAAATTTATCACAAAATCAAATTGCACACACATAGTCACAATAGAAACTATGTTGTTCAACACTATTGACTATATTCACAAAACAATAGTGAATTTATTGTGTCATTAAGAGCTTTAACAAATTCTATTATATATTAACAGATTTCTAAAATTAAACTGATCAGAGTTAGATCAAAATCTCAATTATATCTAATTCTTTTTTGAGGTGTTTAATATCCTTAACATATATAAATTATTGGTAATTAAAACAAAAATGTAGTCAAAACAATCTAAAATGAGTATATATACATACATACATATTGCAATAAATAATTAGTTTTGTTTCTTATGTAAATTCTATGAAAAAATAATTTCAATCTTAATCAATTCATAAGCTTTATTGAATATACCATCAAATTTTATTATGTTTATATAATTATCATAGAAATTTTTTGTAATGAATGTTATGTGATATTAATTTGTTTCATTCTATCATCTATCATTTGATTTTGAAAATATAATGCACTATAATTATCACTATAAAGATTGATAATATCATGTTTTAATCTCATCTTAATTATAATTCTATTCAACAAAATAATTTTCTTCATGCTTTTACTACAATTGCATATTTGAATTTCATTGTTAGATGCACTTTGCATTTTGGTGAAATATATATAGAACTTTTGCATTCACTGTTTAGTGTTAACACATACATGATTTTATTTTTTAATACAAAAACTTATTCTTAATTAACATGAAAGTCATTTAAAAAAATTAACTAAAAAAAATTAACTAAAAAAAATTAACTAAAAAAAATTTGATACAAAACAACATTACACTTGATACTCTTAGGAAAATGAAAATTTCTGGTTATTTAGAAACTTTTTCTTCATTAGACATTATTAGTTCATCTTGTTGAGGTTAATGTGAGCACAAAAATATACTCGCATGTCATTAACTTTATAAGAATTAAAATTCTGGATTAAAATTCTCGGGAATTTATGCTTGGAATGTTTGTTGCAAATTTGCAAAATTATACCTGATGGATGACAATGGGGTTTGAGAATAGAGATTCAATTTCAGTAATGCAATGTGGAGGATGTGTTTAGGGTTTAGAGAATGTTATAATTCTTTAAGGTTATTGAAGTGGAAAATTGACCAAAGGGAAGTGGTTTTTTAACTGGGACTAAAGCTTTGTGGCTGAGCCATGGGGAAATCCTGTAGGGCAAGGCAAGGAAAGGCGAAGAAATTGACCAAAGGAAAGGGGTTTTTGAACTCGGACTAAAGCTCTGTGGCTGAGCCATGGGGAAATCCTGTAGGGCAAGGCAAGGCGAAGAAAAAGCCTGTAAAAGAATTAGGAAATTGAAGCCATTCAGTCGGATGTTGCTTCGTTAGCCGCGAGCTTAGGATTAGCTGTAGGAGCAGGAGTATCTTCTGGATTTGATGATTCGGATTTCCGTAAAGTGGGATTGATCTGTAAGCCTGAGCAACCAAAGCAGGCAGTTGTAGAGAAGAAGAAGAAAGCGACGGAGCACAGCAACACAGAGGTCTGTTTGGTCCCGGGCAGCGGAGCTCGAGCTATGGCGGCACCGAAGAGCGCGGGTCACGACGAAGAGCCTGAGCTTGGAGCGAGTGTATGGAGAATTGCAAGACGGTGGCTTCCATGAGAGGCAAGAATACGTCGGTAGAATTGCAGATTGTTGAATTCAGGAAGAAATTGGATTCGTGATGGCTTGTGCCTCAGCTCAGGCCGTCCGTCCGCTGGCGATCGTGTTGCCGTGCAGCTCCTCGCGTAGGGGGCTGTGCAGCTTGCTAGGCGAAGTGGTTCATCTTTAAAGGTTGATGTAGCAGTTTATGATTGACTCGGAGATTGGGGCGCAGTGATTTGGTTTGTAGTCCCAGGAAACCGAGATGGAACACTCGGATGAATTAGGGCAGCTCAATGTGCTTCTACTATGTGGCGCAGAGTCAGATTTTTGAGGCTGAAAGTAGAAAGTTGCCCAGTGGTAGAAAAGGGAAAAATGGGGGTTTGGAAGATTCGGAAATTCGAAATTCTCCTTCAAATGGATTGGCACTACCAGACTTCGAGGACGATGATACAACACAAACTAAAGATTCCGATGCCAGGAAGAGGAAACTGAAGGGTTCGTCCAAGCTGAAAGGCATGCAGAATGTTGTCACTAGAAGCAACTCTTCTACGCGGATGGGGAGGAAGAAGAGAATAAAGAGGACGTCGAGGATGTTGAAATTGAATATGTGTCTGAGGAGCCAGACTTTGCGGACAGTAATGGACACTTGAACCCTCTGATTGAAGACTTTGTTCGCGTTTTTGAGAAGTTCACAAATGCAGAAGAATTGTGTCGGTTGCTAGAAAGGAAGATGGAGTCAAGGAGGAAGCTGCTCCTGTCGAGGAGGCTAAGAAAAAATAAAAATCGACTCGGACGACTCGGATGAATCTGACCAGGATATTAACAAGAGTATATCGAATAAGAAAAAGAACCTTCAGCGTTGTATGAAGATTGCAGAACTCAAACAGCGGTGCTTTAAACCGGATGTCGTCGAGGTATAGGATGCGACTGCAGCTGATCCACGGCTTCTCGTCTTTCTCAAGGCTTATCGCAAAACGGTACCTGTACCAAGGCATTGGTGTCAAAAGCAGAAGTTTCTATAGGGTAAGCGTGGTAATGAGAAGCAGCCATTCCAGCTTCCTGATTTCATCGCAGCAACTGGAATTTAGAAAATCTGACAGGCGTGTATCAAGAAGGAGGATAGTAAGAAGCTAAAGCAAAACAAAGAACTAAAAGAAGAAGCTGAGAGGATACGTTCAGAGCTACAACGCATTACAGATGACAAGGAACAGAGGGCTAGTCAGATTCAAACACTCATGGACGAGAACGTGCGGTACAAGGAGTGCAGAGGGAAAACCGCAGCTGAGCTCGAGCATCTTAGCAACAAGGCGACCGAGGAAGTTTATACCTCCCAGGCCGATGCGATAAAGGCCTTAAGGCAAGAACTGGACTTCCCCCACCAGAAGCTCAAGATGGCTGAAGCAAGGATAGAGGAGAATGAGTCCAAAGGTGATGTGTACAAGGGAAATCTGGAAGAAGTTCAGCAAAGGCTTTTGGAAGCAGAAGTAGACTTCATGGAGGGGATATCGGGGAGGAAGTTTGAAATTAACGGTGAAGATTAGGTTACACTGGTGAAGATTGCTCAATCTTCACCAGTGTAACCTGCTAGGGCGGCGATACATGGGGCTGTCCATCCGACGGCCAATCGATTGCGGCTAAAGGTTTCCAGCGCCGTATGTAACAGGTGTGTGAGTTTACATGGCAACGTGTGGTAACCCACTTTTTGTTTTTCGTCGGAATTAATACATTTTTGAATAGTAAGTACCACGGTAGCAGCTGTAAATAGTAATCGGTACGCGAAACCAGAGTAAAAAGAGGATCGAGTACAGTCAAGGGGTTTTGGGCTTAGGCCACAGTCGGACGCTTGGGATGGAACGGGCGGTTATGCTGTAGGACCCGCTTCGAGCGCCTTCGGCGGTAGATCCGTCATAACTTTTTCAATTCATAACACTTTGACTTGGTTAGGGTCTCGTTGGAAAGACCTCAACACGCTCGTTCTAACGAACCCAAGAACTTTTGGAACGGATAAGAGATCAATGAGTTATGAGTGTAGGAAGTTATTGATAGGGAGGGCTTTCGGGTCAAGCGACTTCGGGTCAACGGACTTCGGGTCAAGCGACTTCGGGGATACGCCTTCGGCGATGCGGGAGAGTGCCTTCGGCGGAAGACTGGATTCCTCATAATGTTCTCAATTTGTAACGCCTTGACTTGGTTAAGGACTCGTTGGAAAGAGCTCCACACGCTCGTTCTAACGAGCCAAGAACTCTTGGAACGGACAAGGAATCACTGAGTTACGAGTGTAAAAAATGACTGATATGGAATGGCTTTGGCGGAAGAGTTCCTTTGGCGCAAGGGCCTTCGGGGCAAGGGTCTTCGGCGATAAACGCCTTCGGCGCCAAGTGGCAGAAGATTCCCGATGGCGGAAATTGGCGGGATTATGTGTGGGAAGCAGAACAGCGGGGCATGAAGTCGCACGTGAGAAGCAGACCGTTACCCATAATCGCGGGAACGGCATTCAAGCGGCATGTGGGTACCCCAGACCTCAGATTTTGGAGAAGGAATTTTGGCCTTGTTTTAGAGATCTTGCGGGGCTCATATCTTTGCGATGGACCGTTGGATGGACCTGAAATTTGGTGGGGCCGTTGGTCTCAGCCCGCCACGCATGCTTGCGAATTTTCAGCCGCAAATCTTAGATCTAAAACTGTTAAAGACGCTGGCGGCTCTATGTAGTAGGTTTAGAGATGAGAGATCTTGCGGGGCTCATATCTTCGCGATGGACGGTCGGATGGACCTAAAATTTGGTAGGGCCGTTGGTCTCAGCCCGCCACGCATGCGTGCGAATTTTCAGCTGCAGATCTTGGATATAAAGCTGTTAAAGACGCTGGCGGCTCTGTATAGTAGGCTTAGGATTTAGAGTAAGGGTTAGGGTTAGGGTTAGATTTATGTTGTAAATTAGAGGGGAAGTCAGCCGCCGACTCCTCGGGTGTAGGATCTGTTACGGCTTGCACTATAGTAGGTAGAGTGGTGTTAGTTAGGATCTTAGGAGGTATAAAGTAGTTCAAGGCGTCTTGCCTTGGGATTCTTCCAGTTTCGGAAGTGCAGACCAAGAACTCATTTTCTCTGCGTGTTTGTGTCATTAGTTCTGTCATCGCGCAAGAGGAGCTACAGCTTGACGAAGATACCGCATTTTGTAGCTGAAGTCATTCGTTCGAATGTTCAAAGCTAGTGTACTGGTTAGATACTTCAGCAGTTTGGATCTACACTTGCAGGTGATTGCTGAATGCTAAGAGCTAGTAACTGGTTAGATACTTGAGCAGTTTGTCCTTACACCTTTGGGTGATTGTTCCTGTTTGTACTCCTTCGGGATGTTTCCCCTGAATGCCAAAGTGAAGTTTTGTTACTTCGAGTAAGCCTTGGTTGTAATTCAGGTTACGCTGTAGAAGGGGCCCTCGGGGCAAACCTCTGCACTATTTCTGGGAATGACTTGTGCTTGAGAATTCAAACTCGTCAATAGACTGTTATGGTGTGCCACTGGATCTTTTCTCAGTTGAGTTTCTCAGTTCGGACCTATATTCTCTGCGCGTTTTGTGAGTTGAGTGTGTTGCTCACCGCGTGTAAGTGACTTCGGTTTGACGAAGATACCGCATCCGAAGTAGGAAGTCCAACCTGGGTGCCTTGCGCTAGCAGAGACTAGTGGAAGGGTCGTAAAAGCTGGAGTTGGGAGTCACTACCTGCAGATTCGCTGAATGTACTCGTGAGAAACTTTCCCCCTGAAATCTTGAGTGGAGGTCCTAACCGACCTCTGAGTTGTGTTTGTATAGTTTCAGGTGTGTGTTGGGGTGAACTACACTACACTGTGCGTCCTTCGAGTGATCTCCGAGTTGAGCACTTGCAGTATTTCTGGGAGTGACAGTCGCCTGAGAATTCAAACTCTTCAATAGTTTGTTAAACGTGACACTTTGTACTCCGTGTGTTGCCTCTGTCCTTGTGGGTTCGACCTTTTTGCTACTATACTACAGTTTTAGCCTTTGGTGGGTTATTACACGGCGCTTTTCGGCTGCTGCCGTGTGGGTCAGGGTGCTAGGGCCTGCGGCCGCTGGCTTTGGGCGGCTTGGATCTGGGGGAGGGAGGTGGAGTCTGGCCGTGGGAGTGGGAGGTCGCTTTGTTTTGGGAGGGGGGAATCCGTGAGTAGGTTCATAGAGGAAGAAATCTCCTTGAGAGAGGAGGTGAGATTTTTTTGTGAGAGAGTGTCAAATAAAAAATCAGGGAGAGTGTGTGTACGCGAAATCTGTGAGAGAGTGGTAAATTCAAAAATCAGGGAAAGTGTATGCAGGCAAAATCTGTGAGAGAGTGTCAATTCAAAAATCTAAGAGAGGGTGTGGTTCTTTGTGGGGGTATAGGTGAAATTCGAGAGAGAGCTTTCCATAGAGGAGAGAGGGAGGAAGACAAAAATTTGAAAGACAAAGTGATGAGGTGAAATCTGAGATTAAGGTTCAATTTGAGATCGGAGAAAGAGGGTCAATTCAAAAATCTGAGAGAATGGGTGTAGTTTCTTTTGGGGTGTGCATGCGAAATCGGAGGAGTTAGTTTGAAATCTGAGAGTGAAAGTGGAGACGAAATCTGAGGGAAGATGGTTAGTTCAAAATCTAAGAGTGAAGAAGCCGACATGAGAGTCAACTGGTAGGATCTCTGAGAGGAGTGCTAATTATCTACCTAGGTCATTATCCTCTGTTAGATCAGGTCCCCTGCACATGATTCCTTGCAAATAGTCCCAATTTCGGAATTCACGTGCTTCATGATTGAAGTGGATGTTCCGTTTTACTGATCTTGTTCAAGGGGAATAACTTATGTGTACCCTAAACCTTTGGAACTATTTGGCTTGTTATATTACTGTGAAGATAGTGAGAGACAAGACTAAACTATTTACGTTATTTAGTGCTTCACTTGGTTGTGTAATTTTGCATAGCAAACGCAATTATTTCTATATTTTCTGAGCACATAAACTTTTGGGTATCTGTTGCAATCATTTTTTGGCTGTTTGTCAGAATATTTAAACTTTTCATTATGTGGAGTAACTTGTTTTGATACTGAAACTTTTTAGCACATGACTTGAGGGCATTTGATAGGCCTTGACATGAATAGAATGCTGAATGATATTGTCCTTAACTGTGTTGTCCATGATCCTTATTTATAAAGATCTTGATGACAAAGAATCTGATTGTGTAGGTTGGGACCCCCACCTGGATTACAAACGCTGAACTTTGTGGCGTTTTGGCTTACAATTAACTCTAGTAAAGGAGTATCCTTGGGTCCTAGCTATAAATAGCTAGGACAATCGTCTAAACTTGAGATAAATACCTCGGGGTTCATCTTGTACATGAGGTTTTTTGACATGATCTGAAGTAAAGTGTCCGAAGTTCTAGGTGAACGTAGCCCTCCTCCCTGAGAGTGAACCACATTAAATCTGTCTCTCATGAGTTTTTAATGTATTCTTGATTTTACCGTTCACAATTGCTATCAAAGCTGGTTCCGATTCGGACTCTGTGACTGTGACGATTTGTCGATGGTTTCTGAACAATGATTTGTTTGACGATTTTCAAAAGAGTTTTTGTTGATGATTTTCTAAACGATGATTTATTCAACGATGTTTAGAAGAGTGTCTGACTAGTGAGAATTTTTTCTAAGGATGTTTTTGGATTGACTAGCTCACTCGCCTTGCAACAGCCTAGAGGTCCAACAATTTGAAGTAGCTGCCCGATTTCTCCTCTATCATCTGGTGCAGATGTAGTAGCAGCAGAAGGAGGAGTAGCGACACCGGATTCGGTCCATCATACGGGAACAGCGCAATGGGACGTGAGCCATCCGTTCCAGCTTGCCGTGCTCGAGAGCCAAGGACTTCTGCAGACGTACATGCCCGAGACCTCGGATGGTAGGGGCTATATCCTTGCGTTGCTTTCCAACTACACTTGTCGTTCGAGGTGAACTCTGATGAGAGTGGCAACAAGTGTGGGTTCACGAGCATGAGGGATTGGGATGAGGAGTTCAGCAATGGGCTCAAGGTCATCAAGCAGCCAAGGGGATCGTTCGAGTTCATCTCCAAAAGGCCCGAGAACATCATCTTCGTCCAAGCCGAGTTGAGCAGAATTCTCTTTGCCCGACTACGTGGAAGTAGTCTTCAAGGCTTGATCTACTCGGAGGGAGCTGCCACTCAGATTGATCAGGACAGGATCAAGGTTTACTGTGTTGGCAGGCATTCGTCCCCCATTTTGAGCATCACCGTCAGATTTCATGGGCTGGCTCTGGCTTCAGCTACCAAGGATGAATGCCTTCGAGTGTGGAGGAAGCCTTATGAAGAAGACACACAATCAGGAGTAGAGCTCCCGCGCGATTAGGATCTGATGCTCGCCCCTCTTTCCCGCAGGTCGCGAGATTGGCGCGGCCATCGAGGTCTCCCCAAGGTCACGAGAGCGACCACTCCCAAGCGGCCACCATCCCCCAGCAATGCGGGTTGAGCTGTAAGGGCGTAGTTTTGGCAAACTGTGCGATCATGGCAGCGCAGGCAAAAGCAAGCAAGCTGCAGCGGTGCGGGTAGGCAATCCGCAGTCCGAGCGGCGGACAGCGGTGCAATTAGGGCAGATCTCCATAGGAGTTAGTGGCAAGTGCAGGGCAGAGTAGTACCCCCTCCCTCATGCGCGGCAAGGCGAGACTGGGGCTGCGGGCCGAAATAATTTCTCCCCGCAATGAGAGCACGTGTAGGTCGCTAGGTACGAGCAGCAGGGTCCGCGAGGTGCTCGCATCCCCTTCCCCAAATTTAAAATTGGATTTGCTGCCTAGTTGATGGCCTGAGCGGCCGAGTGGCAGGCCCTAGCTGCGCGGCATGGCTTCTTTATTTACCCTCCTCCGCACAACGCGCGTTGTAGAGTGACGTCGCGTGGCGGGTCCCAAAAGTTCCCCATTTTCCCGTGATCGAACAAATTACCGCGCTTGGTTGGAGTGACCGTGGTCGGTTGGGCCAACCGCGATCAAAGTGGTAACCGTGGTCAGGATATACCATGCTAGGCTAAGAAACTACAGTAGGGGACAACCACGTGTAAGCAAGAGAACCACGACGGCCGGGCCAACTGAATTAGAAACAACTACGTTAGGCGGTCCAACTGCTTTAGGGCGCAACCACGTTTGGACAAGAAAATCACGTAGAATGTGCTAACCGCGGTTGGGGCAACTACGTTTGGCGGTGCGTGGTTCGAAGCATGGTTTGCAGCGCAGTTAGCGCAATTTTTGCGCGGTTTGAAGCATTGTTTTCTGCTTGCTTTTAGGCACAGCGCGGTTCGCAGCGCGGTTAGTGCAGTTTCTACATGGTTTTAGATCAAACGTGGATGACGTTGAATGTGGTTGGTAGTTAACGTGGTCAAGGTCAAATGTTGTTGGCAGGGCAACACAGACAACGAGTGACGGTGATGGTGACGGTGACAAACGGTGGCCAACTTTGAAGGTTGACGACATACCAACGGTGACGGTGACGGAATATTTTGTCAAAAATAATTGTCATCAATACTATAGGCAAATTGGGTATCGTTGGAAAACTCTTAACACAAATAGTGTATCTAAACAATTTTCAGGAGCTGACAATGATTCAGGAAAAAAAAATTGACTCAAAAACTGTCATTGTCTCTTCTTTTCAACGTGATTGAGGACGACAGCGATTGCGGCGACATAGATCGCGCGCAACAGATAGTGCTGACAACGATGGTCACGGGCGACTAAAGTCGCAGATGACAGACATAAAGTTGCAGGTGATGGTTGTCACAGACATTATGGCCATCTCGCAATCACCAAATCAATAAGCCCAACATGATCAAGGTCAGCATCCCCAAAAATGAAATATTTGAAAGCAAGGCCTTTTCATATTCTCGAACAAATGATTGTGATAAAATGAAAAATTTTGCTGCATCAATTGTGCACTATGTGGTGAGGAGACTTGGCGTGAAGTCTCATACTTCTCCACATAGAAGTATATGCGTACGAAAATACCTAACTACAACACTGTAGTCAAACTAGTGCTGATCCCACGAAAAGAATCCAACAAATACACATCTTTTGAGGAATGCTCTCATGCAATTGGTGTGGTAATTAATGGGGATAGCGCACTAGGACCACAAATGGCTGATCATCCTGAGATTTTTCTATCTCCTCAGTTAAAGAGGCATCACTCCAAGGCTTCTTCATCAACCTATCAACAAGAACGCCAATGTGGAACGTCCTAGGAAGAGCACATCGTCGCCACAGAGCTCAAAACCTCCTCCACATCCTCATAGATTGGACTATCAACGGCCGACATGTTGCCCTTCAATAAGTCATTGGACCACGTAAACACTCTGCTTAAATTTGCAACGGATGCCAACATCGTAGGAGGAGATTCAAGCGGTTGAGTTCAAGAAGTAAATCTCACAAGTAGTTGGCTCATACGTCCATCCCTTGACTTCCAACTATGACAATAGGCCAATGTCTCCGTCCAATAGTCCATCTGATACAAGATTGCCCCACCAACAAACACATCACACAATTATGCTGATGATACCACATCATAAACTTCAAGCTGTGAGCTATCACGTGCATTATTATGCCTTAAATGCACCAATACACTCTCCTTGGTCATGAATTAAAAACTATCATTGGCATTGTCAAGTGATGTCTGAATCTTGAATTGTAACAGTAGGGTTGAGAGAAAAGTTTACTCGAAGATACAAAACATAAACTCTGAATATGAGAGATACCAAAAATGATTCTACTCTTCCTTATATAGTTCTCACCAACAAGTACAATGAAATAATATGTTATTCCCACCATCAATTTCATTGCTAGTATATGGATAGCGTGGTAGATAACCCTAATAAGCACACGTATTGATGACATGGCGTGCCCAACTAACACACTAATTAACACTCAATCTTTCCTAACAAGCACACGCATCGCTGATGTGATACTATCAATTAACACATCTACTCCCTACCTACCAAGTGCGCGGATTGCTGATGTGACAGCTATGATTAGCGCACGCTAAATTATCTATATTGACATTTAGGATAACATTACTTTAGTTTTAACTTACTGAAGATGGTTACAAACCTCTTTCCTTTTAAGATGCAACGTCCTTGTTGCACATACGTTCAAACTCCTAAACTATCAAAGGTGTATTTACTAAATTTTTACATGGTTCTCAAGTTGATTCATATGATGGACACTCTTTCCATTGAATTAAATACTCTACTTTGGAACATTTATGATCTCAAATACTTTTCTTGAGTATCTTTTCTATCTCAAACTCCTCATGATATGCTATCAAGGTTAGAAGAGGAGGTGATGCTAGTTGGTTGATGAATTGTTTTGATTTTTTGGATTATTCTTTTTATAGTACCAGTTGTTTCTAATACTAAAAAACTATTTTTATCTTACTAAAATAGAAATATATCACCATTGTGAAAGATGTACATAGTGACAAATGAACACCGGTAAGGAACTACAGTCTTAATACACTCAGCAATGTATTAAGAAAGTACGTCATGACGAGTTTTTGAAATTGACGAGGACAAGAGATACATCAAAATGGTAACAAGCTCAAATCTTCATGTATGAATAGTTTCACGCTAGTTAGATCGACGGATTGATACACTTGCACGAGAAATCAAATTTCTAGAAAATTGCATTGAAAGACAATCAGAGTTGATTTCAAAAAGAATTTAGTGGTGTACTTGTAAAGATGCTTCTACGTTTACTTAGTTGGCACCGATAGAGAACAACAAGATAGACATGAAAATACAACAATAAACAATTTTTAACTCAGAATTTCTTTTATCCATAAATTAATTATAGTTGAACAGGTCACATCATCTGAAGTAATTTATGAATAGATTTTACATTACATAGATCTTCATAGTTTTCAGCATATGTTCTCAATAGAATATTACCCACCAAGCCAAATCTCACCGGCTTTATTTATCAAAATTACAAACATGGAATATAGACAATTTAGGGTAATCCCTATAATGATATGAAGTCCCTTGAGGGAAACATAATGTATGTTTATTGAAGGAGTTGCTATAACATTACAGTGATGATTTCAATGTACCGTCAGTGGCACATACTGTACTAGAAACATTTGGAGAAAATGTATACTGCAGTTGTCAAGTGTTAATCGTATAACAATATAGTACATGAACCGTAAAGTATGCATGGCCGTGCAGTTGAAAGTCGAAGTTGACGGCTTGTCGGTGGTATGGGTGGTGGCGGAGTTGTTGGAGCGGTTCTCTCAGACGAAGAAGAATTGGAAGTCGGCGAGCGGGAGGATCTGGAGTTGTCTTCCGCCTTGCTTCTGAAGAGAGAGGACTCTCTTTGGGCGAGAGTAGTTTCGTTGAACTTTTTGGCTTTGCGTGCCGAAGGAAGTGGGACGGGACGGGACGCATCTGTACATTGTATCTCCGTCATCCCGTGGTATTTTTTGGCCATTCTCAGAACCTCTAGATCTAAATATACCGTTCTCACTGGATCATATACAAAGACAAAAAGAAGACGAAGATGAGTTCGCACCAGGATGAAGCGTCTAAAAAAATATTCAGATGAAAAATTGATGTGAGAAGTCGGCAAAACATCTACTTCGAGATGTTTTGCTGACTTTCTCATCACTTCCTCCTACTCCGCGTCCATATCCAAACTAAGAGCATCCAAGGTTTAAGTCATTAAGAGCACGCAATGTTCGAGTCCGATCTGGAGAGGCTGTACAACCGAATCAGCAGAAGAAGATAAATGAAGTACCAATCTACCTGCAATGTTAATGCTGTTTTGAAGCTTGAGGACTCCCAACACAAGGAACTCACCTGTGCATGCTCTACAAAGGAGACATGAGGCCGCAGTGGGTCAAAAACCATCCTATTGTTGGATGAGCAAGCACTTCTGTGGAGGCGCCCATCCCACGAATGTCCCTCGGTCTTAAACCTCATGGTGTGTGAATGGCCGAAGCCAATTCCCGTCCTTGTCATAAGAAAATAAGTCATAAAGTCCTCGAAGGACTAAGCAAGTCTACCTTTCATAGATGGAGGTGGTAGATTTGACTGAGACTACCAAACCTTGGGATATCTGGATAAATTTAGGCGTCTACGCAAGTTTGGAGTTGCGGCCTACCTACGTGGACGCCTAAATTTGTCTAGACATCCTAAGTTTTGATCGTCTCGGTCAAATCTGCCATTTGTTACCCGCACTGGTACCTTAGAACGACTCCAGCCAATCGCGAATTCATCAGCTCGGATCGCTCAGCTGGATGGTGAGGGGCAGCATGCTCTCCTTACAATGACGGCCTGCCTCAGAATGAGGGTTTTGCTCCCGACGGACGTTCCGAAAGCATTAGCCACATCGTTGGCACCTGGTTTAGCACAGAAAAGCCCACAACGGGATCAACAACTGCTAACTGTCCAACAAGCTTGCCTGGTGCAGCTCGGGACCTCCTGGAGTCAGGGAGCTGCATGCCGTCAGTTTGAAATCGGACTGTTCCCCATGCCGCAGTTTCCGTCCTGACTGAATTCGTAGAAAATGCTCACCGGTCTGTCGAGGCATGGTGTTGGTGATCGCGTCGTTGGGAATTTTAAAATTTTGGCTCGGCTGGGTTTCATCGGTGCTCCTCTCAGCGTTTTTACTCTGTCTGTCGTCTATGTTACCCTCCTTTGCAGCGAGGGCAATTCTTTCCAGGGAATGCCCACACCCTTCTCTCCACAAACCGATGAGAACTCGCGAGGAGATCTCAGCCAGCTCGAATCAAGTGTCTCCCATCGATGCCGAGCCCGCTCAATTGACAAGATGGCAGATGTTCAGCAAGGCAGCGACTCATGGCATGGACGTGGATATCCACAAAATCGTCAGGACTGAAGACAAGATTCACGAATCCGCGAGCTCTTCGAGTCTCGTGTGGAGTATGTTGTTAGCTACTTGCAGGTCTTCTTGGCCATTTGTGTCATCTTCGCTCACAGTGCCGCTAAGTTCGGATACATGGCAGGTCCGCTGGCCACCATCTAGGACGTGTACAAGAAGGGTCAGCTCTCGAAGAATGTCCAGCCTCGGTATGATGAGCCATCGGTCTGGCCACTTACGGATACAATGTCACCACACCCATGGGAGTGAAGCTCGCGAAGCTGACACCCACCAGCGAATTTGCAACCGAGCTTGCCACAGCCTTCGTGATCATGATCGCTTCTCAGTATGGTTTGCCCACTTCGTCCAGCCAGTGCATCACCGGAGCCATAATCGGAGTGGGTCTGGTCGAGGGATCGAAGGAGTCCACTGGACCCAATTCTTGAAGCAGTTCGCCTCATGGGTGGCCACATTGTTCGTCAGCGGTGTGGCTGGAATTCAGCTCGATGTTGATAGCCTTTCGGTTCTCAAACGTGATGCTAGGTGTGCTTCGTTCTTCAGTACGTGACCTGTAGCTGTATTTGCTGACGCTGGGTTTTGTTGTTGTTGGCAACAGGTGCAGTGGATCCATCCTCGATGCGCTTTACAACTCACTGTCTCTGGTTTCAAATAACAGCGTCTTCACACACACACAAAATACTGTTTTCCCGGAGCTGACATCTGTATCGATCCAGCGACAGTTGCTTGCATCTCACCGAAGCTTCTTCCATCATTTGCTTTGCAGACATAGTCGGTCTGGGCATAGTTTCCTCAGAGAGGAGGTGGAACAAATTATATAGGTAGTGAGTGGAACAAATTCCAGATCTAAACTTATTGATTAAACACGTTGATTTGAGATGTATGAGGTGCTAGGACACCATACCATTAAGAGGACAAAGACACTCGGACAAAATGTGCACGCTGAGTTTCCAAGCCATGGTCAGTTCTGTTGGACGTTTCAACTTATAGATCGGCCGTTGCTCTCATGAGCTTAAAGTCAATATCAAACTTATTTGTGACGTGTTGAGTATGCTGTTTACATCAGCTAGCTTAAGTTAGAAGCAAAATAAAATGCTTTAACTTCATGTTATATTTGAGCTACATAGTTGACCACTAACGGATTTCGATTTTTCCGTGGTTTTTAAGCTATAAGCAGTGTTATAGAGAATATCTATATCCATATCAAATTGATTCAGAGTTTTTTTCCAAAGTATACGATGAATATTTTCAAAGATATTGAAATATAAGAAATGTAGTAAAAAAATTGCAGTTTTTCAACATTGTTAAAATAGATATTTCTGATCTTTCTGGATTTCATGATAAATAAACAACATACGTCATACTCCAGACACACATAGCAGCATAGTGGTTTTTAAACTATTAGTAGTGTTTAAGAGAATATCTATATCCATATCAAATTGATTCAGAGTTTTTTTCCAAAGTATACGATGAATATTTTCAAAGATATTGAAATATAAGAAATGTAGTAAAAAAATTGCAGTTTTTCAACATGATTAATATAGAAATTTCTGATCTTTCTGGATTTCATGATAAATAAACAACATACGTCATACTCCAGACACACATAGCAGCATAGAATTTCACCACGTTGATATTTCAAAATAATTGCTAGTTATACTTGCAGACTGAAAGTTTCGAGATTTCAAAATTTTCTAATGGAAATACCAAAATTTCCGGTTTTTTCTTTGAGAAAGAATACCCTATCCCTAAACGACAGTTGTGAGAATTGAATTTTTCCATAGTTTCTAAAATAGTCTGATGTGCGATATTCATTTCTATCATTATTTTATTTCGTTATCGTATTTCTAAAACTTATTGTAGAACACAATTGTTTCAGATTCTTTTCACACCGTAGTTTTGAACATCAAGGTAGGTTGGGTCATTATTATTATAGGCCTCGAATTGATGCTCTGCTTTTCTAATCTCGGCACCGTAACAAAAGCTTATAGTGACCACATATGCTTGTCTTATTCATCCACAAAGTTCCTTCAGTAAAAGGAGTAAAAGTTCAATTGCAGTAGTTCCAGTTCCTCGTAGTGAAGGTTAATATATGCTCTTAAACAGTAAGCAGTCTGTACCCTTGTCCTCGCATATTGAGAGTTAACACGAAGATTGGAATTCATAGTTCATAGTGAGTTCATACCGGGGGTATCCACATAAATGAGAGTTAATACGGAATTCATCCAAAAAGCTGTTGAGTGAGAGTGAACACGAAGATTAGATTTCGTAATGCAGTGAGTTCATGGTGGTGAACTGCGGATCAATGTATTGTCAAGTACAGAAAACTTGTTATTATTTTAGTTGTGCAAAATGAATGTTACTTGTTTAATCCAAGGCAAATACATTCGGAAGCAATGAAATGTATTTCAATGTTCTTAAAGAGTAGTAAAAATGATGGAAATTTCTTTGATGCATTGATTAACAATTCCAAATACTTGCGTCATGTTGATTACGACAAGATCTAGACAAGAAAAATTCATTAGATGGAGATTTTCTTTGCAAAAGTACATAACTTAGTACACAGTAAAATCTGAATATGTTCTGATAACATAAGCAACAAAAGAAATCAATCGACCAAATAGGCTTATCATTAAACTAGCACTGAAACCTGAAATTGAAAATCTTTATCATGATTATCAAAGTGTGTTATATGTTGCTGTTAATCAAGTGATACACAACAATTATCACTTAATTAGAGATAAAATTGTTTATTGAAAAAATGAAATAACTAAACATTCATGATAAATTTAATCGAAACTGATTTGGTGACCAAAGTTACTAATATGAAGAGTTCATAAAACAAAGTTGTACTTTGCAAATTTGAATTGAGGAACACAAGTAGAATTTACTAGCGAGTTTGCTACCTCTGCATATTTGTACTACGTATTTTTAGCTACGGTTTAATTCTAGTGAGGTTAGGTTTAAAGTTATATTTACTTCAAGAACTTATAGCAAAGTAATTATATGGTTAAGTATTGTTAGTATTATCCAATCTGAACTAGGTCTCCTCAATAGCAATTGGCCTAATGCCTCTAATATCCTTCTCTACTGCGAGAAGTATAACCCCTAGCACTTCACTTTAAAATCCATTGTTTAGCATAACAGTAGGATTTTTTTCTCTCACTAGCCGTGAAACTACTTGACACAACTCTTGAAATCACAAAATTCAGAAAAAATACTTCACAACAAAAATCGTGAAAGCGCTCAAATATCATGTTGGGCATGTTGATGTCACATTGGCCCCTGGAGACTGCCCTGGCTCTAGCCTTCGCTATTCTTCGGATCTGAAAACAGGTTTGTTCTCCACAAATAAGTATGGCGTGATTTGCCTTTCGCGGTGCTGATGCGGAAAAGATGGTCTCCTGAGCTCATCCTGTCGAGAGGTGGTAGCCTTATGAAGGAATACAACGCCTTTCACGAAAACGGTATCACGATAATCATCCCTATTACATTTTCAATCTTCCACTCATTTTATCATGTTTAATTTAAGGAAGTGAAATCTGGGTTGCAGTAGGTAGAAACTGGTCCTCTCTCTTTTGTTCCTTGTTCAACCGAATGCTAGCCGAGGACAAGAATCGACCATGACTCGTTAAGGATCACAAAAGAGCCGATTGCAGAATTCCTTGTGCCTCATCTAAGAAAGCCGCGGCAACCCTTCAAAGTTTATGTCCGGTCTCCGGCTGGCCCTCCCAGGAACTCGGAGTTCGCCTGCGATTAAGCATAGAGGTATGAGATCCACCATTGGGAAGCGTTCAGGGCTTATGCTGAAGAACGCAAATTGATTTATATTGCCATACAATGGGCATCTGTTATCAAAGCAGTTCGATGACTGACCACAAGACGCCAAATGTTTGCCTCGAAATGACATAAGTTCTTTATAATATTATGCACTAGGAACTCGTGAGAATGCAAAATCAACTACAAGTACATTATCTATGTATCAAATAGTTGGAAGCGTGATATCAAAAAAGATAATGATGAGAAATTTTGGACTAGCTGAGTCGAAAGATTCTGTAGGTTCCAATTTTAATCATGTATCGTAGTTACTTCCAGAATTAAGTGGAGACTACCCAGTGATAAAAACTAACAAGCTGAGAGACTTGCAAAAGTTACAAGGTAAGACTAGATAGTGTCTTTGAAGGCGGATATGCGTTGAATGCTTAGTGTTGTCCTGATTTTGACTGAAACAAAAGTTCAGGAGTGCTTGATATATATTTGAGGAAAATGTAAAGACAGGGTGAATGGTGAACCTTTTAATTGAAGAGGGATTGCAATGTTAGTTAGTTTTTTTAATTTAAATATGTGTTAATATTAATATCTGAATATTATTACGGTAATCATTGGATTAAGCAAGCAGTTACTAACTTCATCATTTTTTTATTATCATTTTTTTTATTATCAGTCTACAATGGAAACTTGAGTAGTTATGGTATATAAAATATGATGGATCGCATCACAAGAAGCGCTGCTTTTAAAGCTAGACATAAATCCAGATTAGATCAATTTAATCAAAATCATATCAGTATTCTCATTGACATGACAAAAGAAGTGAGAGAAAGAGTTTAATTTAACTAATTTGAGATTTCATCAATGGCAAGAGATGGCTTTAACAAATTTGTTTAGCCTAGTCCAACTTTGGAAACATCTTGCGTAGGATCTATGTGATGCTTAGCTGAGAAAGATCGATTCCTTTCCTCTGATGTTTTCTTGCCACACGTTCAGGACGTTAACAACCGTTCGAGTACTGCGACGTTGTGACCACCACCAAAAGTTTGAGAGGTCCTCGAGCGGGTATGATTTTTTACACGAAGCGACCCAAGCCCGCCAAGAAAGGACAGATCGGAGAAGTGAACTATGATAATGAGGACAAGATCAACTTTACAGTCTTCCCTTCATTGCAGGGTGGACCTCACAACCATCAAATTGCTGCTCTTGCCGTGGCTTTGAAGCAGGCTAACACTCCCCATGTTCAAGAAGTACGCCAAGCAAGTAGAGGCTGATGCCGCCACCATCGGTGCTGCTTTGATGAAGAAGAGTTAAAAGATGGTGACTGATGGAACTGATGATCATTTAGTGCTTTGGGATTTGTGACCACTTGGACTCACTGGTTTGTCACTCTGACCTTCTGCTCATATAGCTCCCCACCTTATAATGGACATGGGTTTGACCAGTCTTGCTCCAGTAGAGCAATTGCTGTCTGATCAAAGATTTCACGATGCCTATGCATGTTTCGAATGCTTTGACATTCTCTGGCATTTTCTGCCCGCAGGAAACAAAGTTGAAAGAGTTTCCGAGTTGGCTCACATTACTTTGAACAAGAATGCTGTTTTTGGTGATAGCAGTGCTCTCGCACCTGGTGGAGTTAGAATGGTAACTCTCGACAGCTTCCTTTGATGCAGCAATCTCTTTGTTGTCCACCAAGCCCTTGTTAAAGTCTTTTAGCAGCTTTCCATACTCTTTCTGTACAGAGAGCGTAATGTTCACTGCCTGTTCCAAAAAATCAGCTATCTGCTCCAAATCCTTCTCCTTCAGACCCCTTGATGTCATAGCGGGTACACCTGGATATTTCCCCATCAAAGATTGCTGCATTGAAGAAAGCTGTCGAGAAGTTTGCTGCGTCGTATGATATGCCTGGATTCGATGTAAACGCAATCAAGATGCCTCTAAGCGTTGGATTGTGTTGGTTAGCTTCGTCTTCTGGATGGTTCTTTATTTAATATCAGATGTTTTTAATACTAGAAACCTGTTTTTATCTTACTAAAATAGAAATATATCGCCATTGTGAAAGATGAACATAGTGACAAGTGAACACCTGTCAGGAACTACAGTCTTAATACACTCAGGATGTATTAAGAGAGTCCGTCATGACGAGTTTCTAAAATTGACGAGGACAAGGGATAGATCAAAATGGTAACAAGCTCAAATCTTCGTGTATGAATAGTTTCACGCTAGTTCGATTGACTGATAAATACACTTGCTCCATAAATCAAGTTTCTAGAAAATTGCATTGAATGACCATCAGATTTGAGATGAATAAGTATTTAGTGTTGTACTTGTAAAGATGATTCTACTTTTACTTAGTTGGCACTGATAGAGAACAACAAGATAGACATTAAAATACAACAAAGACAATTTTTAAGTCAGAATTTCTTTTATACATAAATTAATTATAATTGAACAGGTCACAGCACCTGAAGTAATTTGTGAGTAGATTTTGTACAGAAGATAGATCTTCATTCTAGTTTTCAGCAGATGTATTCACTAGAATATTACCCACCAAGCCAAATGTCACCCACCGGCTTTTTTTATCAAAATAACAAATATGGATTATAGACAATTTAGGGTAATCCCTAAATTAATATGTATGTCCCTTCAGAGAAACATTATGTATTTTTATCGAAGGAGTTGCTACAACATTACAGTGATGATATCAATGTACCGTCAGTGGCACATACTGTAGTAGAAACATTTGGAGAATATGTATACTGCAGTTGTCAAGTGTTTCTCGTTTAACAATATAGTACATGAACCGTAAAGTATGCATGGCCCTGCAGTTGAAAGTCGAAGTTGACGGCTTGTTGGTGGTATGGGTGGTGGCGGAGTTGTTGGAGCGGTTCTCTCAGACAAAGAAGAATTGGAAGTCGGCGAGTGGGAGGATCTGGAGTTGTCTTCCGCCTCGCTTCTGAAGAGAGGACTCTCTTTGGGCGAGAGTAGTTTCGTTGAACTTTTTGGCTTTGCGTGCCGAAGGAAGAGGAGTGGGACGGGACGCATCTGTACATGGCACATTGTCTGCATCATCCCGTGGTATATTTTGGCCATTCTCAGAACCTCTGGATCTAAATACACCGTTCTCACTGGATCATAGACAAAGACAAAAAGAAGACGAAGATGAGTACGCACCAGGATGAAGCGTCTGACAGACCCGACCTTTTAACGGCTGATACTACTAAAAGTTGACTGAGAGCACATGCGTTTTCACCGAAAGCTATGATTGATTGAGTGAGTGAATACTCACTTTGATCTAGTAGACCAAATTGGCACAACGCGCCTGCTCCTGTCGACAGATTCAAAAGCATTTGGTGGTGACGGCTCGTGGAAGTCGCCGACTTGCTCAAGCTGTCTGTATCCATCAGCAGACCATGACAGCTGTACATGCCAAACAAATCCAGTGCGTCAGATTACTGCTGCTACTTGTGTGCTATGTGGACTCATTCATCCGTACATATCTATGTAATAGCACTCTGCTCAAGTCCTATCATCTTTATCGCCAGTCCTTCATTCACGTCAGAGTAGCTCAGACCGCATACCTAGTACTGTTCAACACACAAAAAGACAGAATACGACGATTGTCGTATACAATATATATTCGTACATATATGTGTAAGGTACAATTTTAGGTGTTCAGTATAATAACCAGAGCTTCTGTCGAGAATGGAATAAATGACATCAACCAGATGTTCGGGTTGAAATTTACCTGGTTCGATATATATGCCCGACCAAAGAGGCTCAGCTTCTGAGACGATAGTCTCCGCCAGACCTGACAAATCACATTCAGAAAAAGCATGTGGTTGAGTTATGTAGTGCTACTCTGTTGTCTTTTGAGGAGTAGCAATGCATACAACTTTAACTCCTAGTGTATCAAATAAATAATAAAATTAATATAACTCACCTCATCGAAGTCCATCGTATTTGAATTCGATTTCGTCCAAATACGATGCGAAGTCAAAATCTGGTTCTTTGGCCAAATTTTCGAAGTAGGTGTCTAGCGGAGTAACTTCCACCTCTAAAGGTGGAAGTTCCTCGCTTTTATTCACGCCTTTGACTTCTAATGGTATGAAAGAATCTAGAGTTTTATTCGAGTTCGAATCTCTGTACAATGCTTCAGAATCTGGTTCTTTGTCCAAATTTTCGAAGTAGGTGTCTAGCCAAGTAGCTTCCACTTCTAGAGGTAGAAGTTCCTCGCTTTTATTCACGCCTTTGACTTCTAAAGGTATGAATGAATCTAGAGTTTTATTCGAGTTCGAATCTCTGTACAATGCTTCAGAATCTGGTTCTTTGTCCAAATTTTCGAAGAAGGTGTCTAGCCAAGTAAATTCCACTTCTAGAGGTGGAAGTTCCTCGCTTTTATTCACGCCTTTGACTTCTAAAGGTATGAATGAATCTAGAGTTTTATTCGAGTTCGAATCTCTGTACAATGCTTCAGAATCTGGTTCTTTGTCCAAATTTTCGAAGTAGGTGTCTAGCCTAGTAACTTCTAGAGGTGGAAGTTCCTCGATTTTATTCACGCCTTTGACTTCTAAAGGTATGAAAGAATCTAGAGTTTTATTCGAGTTCGAATCTCTGTACAATGCTTCAGTTTTCAACAGCTCCTGCTATAACACAATAACAAATCATTTCCTAGACAATCAACAAAACATACAAGAATACGCACCCGGATGACACAAGAGTAGTAGGAATAGAATCATGAGACCGCTCGGTCTACAAATAAATTTAAACACAAACACACAATCTGTAACCAAAATGATAAAAAATGAACCCAGGTGATAACTCACAGAAATTTCAGAAACTTGAGGTTGAGAATATGAATCTGTTATTGAGATTGAAGTTTGCAGAGGTACGGAGAACAATGGCATAACGACGGTATCCTGATTGGATTGAGCGGCTGCACGAGATCTCTGCAAATTTAAGTGAGCATTAGGACCGAAAATTTCTAAAGCTTTAATGTCATAAACTTCTGCAGCTTCCTCCTCAGTGTCGAAAGTCCCCAACAACAAATTTTTTGTTTTCTTTCGATCCCTCGGATCCCAAATCTCTGCTACCCATTTTCCCGAATTCCGCTTACGCACTCCCCTGTAGTACTTGGAGTACATGTTTTCGGGGCCTCACTGGCCTCTTCTCGAAGAATCTCTGCTCCACTTTTTGGGAAGAACTTTCTCACCTTTGGTCATTCTGCAGATATCAACGATCGAGAACAGAAGTCACATGAAGTACACCAGTCCAAGAACTCAGAATACAACAATCACTTTATATAGGCACGAAGTATGATAGCCAATTACTGGTTACTCCTACGATATCTCTGTCGGGAAGTAACTGTTAACCGCGAGAGCATCGCGCAACTGCTAAAATACTGAGTAAATAGACGAATGCTATAATAATGTTACCAAGGAGAGAATCATATGTACATAAGTTCTCTTGCTCTCACCCAGTCGATAGACCACCCACAGATTTCTTCGCAAATGGAGTGGACACATGCCTCGCCCCATCAGGACGACACGTTCAGTCCCAAGTAGGAAGGAATAAGAAGCCAAATTGTACCAAATCCCAAGGTGCAAACCATGCCATAAGCATAAACCTTCGGGTCACGGGTGAAGGAGTTGATGTCCGCTATACGGGACGCGATGGTATTTATCGACACTCTTCCTAGAAGAAGGGCTCCGGCAAACTGGAATAGAGACGCAATCTGCAAGTCAATTGTCAGTCGGTCTGATCAGACAGTCCACGTTTCAGCAGCTTAAAAGTCTCATCTATAATATCCTGGAGTGCGGTATTGTGTACGTTCTATAGAATCTAGGAGACAGAATGCTCTGCTTGCATTTGTTACTCGCACTCGTAGCTTAGAGCGACTCCAGCCAATCGCGACTGTCATCAGTTCGGATCGCTCAGCTGGATGGTGAGGGGCAGCATGCTCTCCTTACAATGACGGCCTGCCTCAGCGTGAGGGTTTTGCTCCCGACGGACGTTCCGAAAGCATTAGCCACATCGTTGGCACCTGGTTTAGCACAAAAAAGACCACAACGGACCATCAGCTGCCAACTGTCCAACAAGCTTGCCTGGTGCAGCTCGGGACCTCCTGGAGTCAGGGAGCTGCAAGCCCCCAGTTTAAAATCGGACTGTTCCCCATGCCGCAGTTTCCGTCCTGACTGAATTCGTAGAAAATGCTCACCGGTCTGTTTATCGGTCTGTCGAGGCATGGTGTTGATGATCCCGCCGTTGGGAATTTCAAAATTTCGGCTCAGCTGGGTTTCATCATGCTCCGCTCAGCGTTTTGACTCTGTCTGTCGTCTATGTTGCCCTCCTTTGCAGCGAGGGCAATCCTATCCAGGGAATGCCCACAGCCTTCTCTCCACAAACCGCCTCCGAGATGAGAACTCCCGAGGAGATCCCAGCTGGCTCCAACCAAGTGTCTCCCGTCGATGCCGAGCCCGCTCTATTGACAAGATGGCAGATGTTCAGCAAGGCAGCGACTCACAGCATGGACGTGGATATCCACAAAATCGTCAAGACTGACGACAAGATTCACGAATCCGCGAGCTCGTAGAGACTCGTGTGGAGTACGTTTTCAGCTACTTGCAGGTCTTCTCGGCCATTTGTGTCATCTTCGCTCACGGGGCCGGTGAGTTCGGATACATGGCCACCATCTGGGACATGTACAAGAAATGTCAGCTCTTGAAGAATGTCCAGCCTCGGTCTGATGAGCCATCGGTCTTGTCATCGGTCTGGCCACTTACGGATGCAATGTCACCAGACCCATGGGAGTGAAGCTCGCGAAGCTGACACCCACCAGGGGATTCGCTGCCGAGCTTGCCACAGCCTTCGTAATCATGATCGCTTCTCAGTACGGTTTGCCCACATCGTCCAGCCAGTGCATAACCGGAGCCATTAATCGGAGTGGGGGAGTCAACTGGACCCAATTCTTGAAGCAGTTCGCTTCATGGGTGGCCACATTGTTCGTCATCGGTCTGGCTGTGGCCGCCGTGTCTGCACATTGAATCTACACTCCCAGCAAAATCCAAGGAAAGGAGGTGACCATGTGCGAGGATCGCGTGACGAACTTCACAACTCAAGTGTACAAGGACTTCAACTCCAGCCTCCAGAGCTACCGACCTGTTGCTGCCCAAGGCCTTCTCGTCAACCTCCCGAACACCACCTGGAATGAGCTGAACGCCACGGTAGCCGTCAATGCGAAGGCCGCCAAGAACTTGATAGACCAGGTAATCAATTCTATGAGCAGGAATCCAGCTCGATGTTGATAGCGTTTCGGTTCTCGGGCGTGATGCTAGGTGCAACTGGAGATATCTGAAGTGAAAATGCTGACTTGAGTGACATTAGTAAAGCAACTACGGATAAGAGCTCAGCTGCAAGCCCAGCTGCTCCGTTTTCGTCTGCATCGGATTCCACTCCGTCTCGCAAATCTCGCAAACTCCTCCTGCCTGCTGCGCACCTTGATGCGATGCAAGCATCCGCTCCCCTGCTCGCTCGCTTCTGCATATAGGTGGGCCTCGCTACGCTACCTATGCTACTCGTCTTGCCTCCTCGAACAATCATCACATGGCCTCCTCGTCAAGAAAATACGTGCAGCTCCAATTTTCCGATTCTTCATGATCATGGATCCCCGCGGGTCGCTTCAGGTTCTACCAGAATCCGACCCGGTTTTTTGGGTCCGGTTCGGGTTGAATGTCAAACCCGATCCGATAGGAGCCCTACTTGTGGTACCCCACTTTTGGCAATTTTGAGGAAATTAAAACATTTTTGGAAAACTGTACCCTGGAAGCATTGTAAATAGCCTTCGGTACATCAAAACAGAGTGAATCCGGAAGATCGCGGGGATTCTCGAGGGATCTTGTAGAATCTGGGATTTGGGGTGCCGCAGCAAGCACAGGCACCACCCTCCCTGCGAGCTCCGCAGTTAGGATCTCTACGGCGCAAGGCGCAAAACCCGCCTTCGGAGGTTGCGTCCGCGGCTGTAGGGAAACCCCCGTAATTAGGTCAACCCTCGGGCGCCTTGACCAAGTTAGGGTCCCGTTGGAAAGAGCTCGACGCGCTGATTCTAACGAGCCCAAGAACGCTTGGATCGGACGAGGACTTAGGGAGTTATCGCTACTGGAAGAAACGGAGGCGGTCGCCTACGGCGGAAGGAGTTCGCCACCGGCGCGAATTCCGCCTACGCGGAAGGGGGATTCAAGTTTTGTCCTATGCGCGGACGAAGGCGTTCGCCTGTGCACAGGCGAAGTAGGGTTAGGGAAGGCGCGAAGTCCGCCTACGCACAGGCGTTCGCCTGTGCACAGGCACTTCGGCGTCGGCGGAAAATCCGCCTTGGGCCCTAGAAATGCGCCTTGTGAGGTAGAAAGTGTACGGCGCCTTCCGCGCCAGCGCGGCGCCACGTACGGCCGCCAGAGTAATCCCATCGGTACGGACCGTGCGGACGGCACGGGTGGATGCGCTCTTGGACGGACGGAGTTGCGGCGGCGGAAGCGCCGACGGAGAGACAAGGAACGGACAGACTGGACGGAGACGGCTGACCACGGTCAACGCCTTCCGCGCCAGCGCAGCGCCGCGGACGGAATTCGCCTGCGCACAGGTGAACGCCTGTGCACAGGAGGGTGTTCAAGTTCAGCGCCGGCGGAGAATCCGCCGAGGCCCCTGCCTGCGCACAGGCAGGAGTTGAATTTTTGTCCGACATGCGGACACACGCGTCAAGGCAGAAGGAGATTGGCCGAGGGGCGGTACGAACAAGTGTACCGCGCAAGGCGGAAAACTCGCCTTCGGCGCTACGCACCCATGTCTGGAGGGTGACACGCTCGCGGAGTTCAAATCCGCCAATTCGAGCGTGAGAGTTTAATCGACGACGGCGGAGCGTGAAGCCGCGCGTGAGAGCGAAGACCGTTCCAGCGTACAGCCGGCGCGGCCATCAAGTGAGACGTTCTTCACGACCAAGAGCCGACCATGACCTTCGACCGGGCGGCGGAGAGCGTCCCATTCTTGAATTCGCGATTCCAATCTCTTGTGCGCGCTGCGCGCATCCATCTGCTGGCTGCGGACCATTCTCGACGTCGTCACACAGGAGATTTCTTGTTGATTGAGGGAGAAGTGAGTGCGCGTGATTTGGAATTGAGAGCGATTAGAGTTTGCCGAGAGAGAAAGAAACGCGGACAGTGCGGAAGTAGAATGAGCGGGCGAGCGAACCCCAGGAACGCAATGACGAGACCGAGCAGATTGCGGATGGTGCCACTTCGCCTGCCGCAGAACGGGCTGCGCGCTTTCGAAGAGCGCTTAATAGCAAGAAAGCTCGATTTCTTGCTATGGGGATGGAATTACATCTGCGCGAATATGGTGCGCGAGTGGCTAGAGCCACAGGGACCACCCTCGCGCGGATTGCGTCCGCATGTTGACCGGTGGACAGTCCAAGATTGGGCGCAGGCGTTGGGAAGATGTGCTGGCATGCCAGGGCATCTCCTTTTCGACAGCGAGAGCATCAAGGTGACCAAGCAAGAAGAAGCGCAATTTGTGGAGCTGTTCAAGACCGGGAGGTCTACCAAGAATGGGTACAGGACCCGTGATTACAAAGATCGATTTCGCCGGACTTTGTCCGCGGCGCTGATGCAATTACTGCAGCCGCACCGCGCCTGCTACATCACATTGTGGCAGGTCTCTTTTGTGGAGTGCGTCATCGAGGGAACTCCAATTCACTGGGCGAGCATCCTGCACAGGGTGATGCGACAGCACGCGTTTGAGGAGAAGGGGGGAACTCTAAACCATCTTTCTCCTTTCCTCATCAATTTTTATCGACAGCGGAATTGTTTGACAGCGGCAGAGCTTGAACATTTTCCGCCATTGTCCATCGACCATCCCGGGAAGTATGTGCGGGAGAACGAGGTTGATACTGATGCAGAGGAGTCACCGACTTCTACCCCATCAAGACGGAGGGATGAAGGGAGACACACTCCTGCAGCGCGAGTGCCGCGGAAGCGGCGATGGAGGGAAGAGTCCGAAGAGGAGCAGCATCAAGAACCATCTGCTCCCATTCGACCGCGGCCGCTGTGCGAGCCATACAGCCGGCCGAAGCAGAAGGCACGCAGACTGGTGTTACCAGCTGACAGTGCAGACACGGCGACGATTGCGACGGAGATAGGAAGTGCGTCGCCAGAAAGGCGAGAGGAAGCGCGGACGACCCAAGGAACAACGGGCCACGCTGCAACCTCGTCGGGAGAGAGGCCACCTACGGGCCAAGGGCCTCCGGAGTTACCACGTGCGATGCGGACAGAGGTTCCGTTTGCGCACAGGCGAACCTCCGCGGACGGACGAGCCTCCGCGGACCGGCGAACACAAGTGGACGTGGATCTACGCTTACGCGTGGGAAGGAGCAGTCCGCCTGTGCACAGGCGCTCACCTGTGCACAGGTCGCCTGTGCACAGGACACCTCCACACGTGCCGCCGGTGCACAGGCAAGACTCACCCCCGTTCCAACGCAGGAAGGGGAAGGAGCCGGCGGAAGAACCGCCTACGAGACACCGGCCCTCGGGGCCAGATCCTCCGGCGCACCACGCGCCGCAATTTGCGCCTTCGGCGCCAGGGCCTTCAAGCCGAGGAGATACGAGCAGAGATGGTGCGGAGGCCGCACCATCGGCGGGAAGTCCGCCGATAGATGCGCCTTCGGCGGTAGGGTCTATAGGCCAAGGAACATCGGGCGTACGGCCCCCGGCCATGTCGCCTTCGGCGATAGATGTCCGCGGCGCTACGCCTGCGGCGGACAAGGCGCCGGCAAATGCGCCTGCGCACGGGCCGGGCACAGCCCCCACGGACCGATCAAGGGAGCAGCAGACGGAGGAGCGGAGTGACTGTCCGCGGGATGAAATCTCGATGCGCGATGCGCAATCCAACCCCGCGCAGCCACCTTCCGCTCAATCGCCTTCGACGACGGACGACAGAGACAGAGAGAATGCGGTGGGAAATCAACCAGCGGGCGACGGGGATGCCGCTCGGATACATTCGCCTTCCGCCTTAGACATTTTGGCGACGAGCAGCGAGGCCGCAGCCGTGCCTTCGCAGGCAGCACACGTCGAGGACGTGCAGCCCCACTCGGGGCAGTCGCCGACGCAATCAATGGCGACTGAAATTCTCCACTCGGATGATGACGACGGGGGCTCCACGGAAGAAATGTCAGGAGCAGAAGACACCGAGGAGGAGGAGGAAATTGTTGGAGCGCCGGCGGCGGCGCTCTCTGAGCAGGTGATTCCGTTGCTACGGTACTTGGATCGCAAGGTCGATAAATACGCCGACCCACTCCAGCCGGGATCTTACATCGAGTTAGTGCGCAGGCGGACTCGCACTAAAGTCCACACCAGCAAGCTATTAGCTAGAGTGGACCAGGAGTTGAGGGACTTGAAGGAGAAGCATGAGTGCTTGTGGGGACAGTACAAGCTTAATCAGAAATTCTACAAGCACTCCGAGAAGATGAAGGATGAGAAACTGGGCGAGCTCACCAAGGAGCAGGTGAAGGTCAAGGAAGCACTCAACTCTGAGCAGGCCCAGAATCGGATTTTGTCAGAGGAGCTCGTGCGACAGACGCGGTTGTTGGAACAATGTCAGCTCGCACGGCAGGCGGATGAAGAGTTAATCCGCAGGTTACAGTCAGAGTGTGGCGAATTGAGAGCGCAACGTGCCGAAGCCGAATCGCAATTAGTGACGATTGAAGAGGATCGCAGGAAGGAGGCGGATCGCACGAAGGTGGAGACGGCGAGGCGAGTCGCCCACTGTCTCAAGGGCTACGCCCACTGGGAAGTGAAGGCGCAGGAGAAACTCACACTGCGTGAGTTTGAATTGCGCGCAGCCGGGTTGTTGTCAGGCGACAGTAGGAGTCGGCGGAAGGTAGCGAAGAAGCTCGAGGCCTTTCTGTCGAAGGCACAGGATACCATGTCCGTCCTCGAGGGGGAGGTGTCCGCGGCGTTGCAGCGGTTGGGACTGCGTAGTCGAGCGGAAGAGTGGCAGGGTAGGGAGTTAGTGCGCGGCAGTCGGCCGCGCAGGAGACGTAGTACAGGTTCCGCGGAGTGTAGTGTAGCGTGGTTCCGTGCAGGCGTGTAGCGTAGTGCAGTGTAGTGCTAGGTAGGACTTAGAAGGTATAAAATAGTTCCAGGCGTTTTGCCTGGGGTTCTTTCCCAAACTCAGGAGTATAGATCAGGAACCCATTTCCTTTGCGTGTTTGTGTCCTTGAGTTCTGTCACCACGCAGGAGGAGTTACAACTTAGCGTTCCGCATTTTGTAGCTGAAGGCCTTCGGCCGAATGTTCAGAGCTAGTACATTGGTTAGAGACTTGAGTAGTTCGGATCTGCACCTGCGGGTGACTGCCGATGCTCAGAGCCAGTGACTAGTTAGATACTTGAACAGTTTCGCCCCTACACCTTCGAGTGTGCCTTTCTGATTGTACT